GGTTCTATTTTCCCGCTGCTTGGAAACCAAACTTATTAAACTGGATAATGCCATTGATCTATTTACAGTATAAGGTTGCTATAGAGTTGTAACTAACATTAAGACTGATGCCCACTATACATTTAAAACTAAAAAGTGACTTTGTAAAAATGACTTGGGTTTCCAACTCTACTGTGTCTCAGTCAGGGTGGAGCACCTTGTGAGGTATCTTCACACTAGCTCAAGGTCACAGACTCACAGCTATCCTATATTCATTATTTTAAATAGTATTTCTGATAATCTGACAATAATTTAAACAGTTATTTCTTTAAAAAACATTATAAGTTATGGTGTATTGAAAACAACTTTCTGGGTCACAAAAAAGAAAACAAAAAGATGAAATACAAGCTATACAAGCACAGAAGAGTTCGATACTTAAGTTTTTATGTCATGAAAACAACGAAGTTGATCAAGATCATGGAATAACTGCCGACGAAAATTTTTATGCAGACGAAGCTCAAGAAATGCAACAACACACGGAACAATCATTTGAAACAGATGCAGACACAAAACAAGAAATTACAACAGTTGAAACTGTACTAGCATGGGATAGAGATGACATTGGCACATGGCTGCAATCTTTAAACAACGAATTACGTGCCACTATACTTGAGAAAGGCCCTGTGAGAATAAAAGGTCTTGAATATCCTAAAGACATTAGAGGTAGGAAATTCACATAAAACAATTACTACAAAAGACTTTCTAATGGTGAAATTGTCAACAGACGATGGCTTGTGTACTCTAAATGCAAGAAGAACAGGAGTACTTGTGGCACCTTAGAGATGAACACATTTATTTGAGCATAAGCTTTTGGGGGCTACAGCCCACTTCATCAAATGCATAGAATGGAACATATTGTAAGAAGATATATATACATACAGAGAACATGAAAAGGTGGAAGTTGCCATACCAACTCTGAGGCTAATTAATTAAGATGAAACAGTGATGAGTGAACATCTCCGAAGAGTAACTGAAAATGAAATACATGACCACTGTTTGGGACCAAGAATTCAAAATGAACTGATCATGCTAATGAGTGATAAAGTGAAAGACAAAATTGTTTCATTGGTTACTCTGGCAAAATATTTTGCCGTAATTCTAGATTGCACTCCAGACATAAGTCATCAAGAACAGATGTCTTTAGTAGTGAGATTTGTCGACATTAGTGATTCAGCACAGATTACAGTTAAGGAATCGTTTATCACATTTTTAGAAGCAGAAGACACTACAGGTTTTGGACTTCTTCAAGCTCTCCTTGCTGAATTAAAACGAACAGGATTGTCCGTAATGAACATTACAGGACAAGGCTATGATAATAGTGCCAATATGAGAGGATGCATTTCTGGAGTGCAAGCTAGATTGCTGGCAGAAAATCCACGAGCCTTTTTTGTTCCATGTGCATGCCACAGCCTTAATTTGATTTTGTGTGATATGGCCGAATCTTCTGTAGAAGCTATTTCTTTTTTTGGTTTGCTGCAACGCATTTACGTGCTCTTTTCAGCTTCCACTCAATGATGGCAAATATTCAAAGCACATGTCAATGGTATTACCGCTAAGCCTCTATCTGAGACACACTGGGAAAGCAGAGTAGAAAGTGCAAAAACGTTGAGATATCAATCTGAGGAAGTTTACAAAGCACTGGTTGCTATTTCAGAAGAAGCCAGAGATCCAAAAGCTAAAAGTGAAGCACAGTAGTTGGCCTCTGAAATATCCAGCTTCAAGTTTCTAAAATCTGTCATAATCTAGTATGACATTCTTGTAAGTGTAAGCAAAATAATGCAGAGTCCAATGATGCAGCTTGATTCAACACACAAGACTTTTTAGTGAAATACACAGAAAATGGATTCAAAGCAGCACAGGTTACAGTAAGAGAGCTTGCACAGGCACTCGGTGTAGAACCAAAATGGCCAAGTCGGAACGTGACACGAGTTTCAAGGAAAAAACGGCAAGCAGAATATGAAGGAGCAGATGAGCCCATAGAAGATCCAGAAAAGAAATCCGACGTTGAATTTTTTAATATTGATTAAAAGTTTAATACCTTACGAGTACACCATGAACAATTTGGATTTTCAACTAAATTCAACGGAATAGGAAAACAAGAGCAGCTAATGACAAAGTGCAAGAACCTAGAGAGCCTCCTGAAGCACGGTGATTGTTGTGATTTAAATGGACTTGAACTGTATGAAGAATTGAGTACACTGTCATCCATGTTGCCACATGCAAAATCGGTGATGGACATTGTACAGTTTATTCATACCAGCAAACTTGTTGACACATATCCTAATGTGTACATTGCCACTCGTATTCTACTTACAATTCCTGTTACAGTAGTATCAGGAGAATGGAGTTTTTAATGAGCTTTAGTTTTGAGAAACTATCTCCATTCTACAATGAGTGAGGAATGCTTGACTGGTCTTTCTATTCTTGCAATCAAACAAGACATCACTTTGTCATACGATGACATTATTACTGATTTTGCAGCCAAAAAAAGCCAGAAAGATTGCTTTTAATTAAAAACAAATCCTTGTTTCAATACCTCTTCATAGAAATTTCCAATAAAATGTTGACAAATTTAAAAAATTATATTATTTGCATCATTCTGTCAATAAATCAGAATTTCTTCTATAGCGCTACTTCTTCAGTGCAAGTATAGTCCATCAGCATTACAGTGAGCTTAATTAGTTTAAGCTGGTTTTAAGAAAGTGCATGTGGCAAGTTTTCCAATACTGTAAGCTTATGTTTGTGTTGCTAAGAGCAAGTTGGGCATAGGGGCACCAGTTTAATAATCCCTCCTAGGGCACCATAAATCCTAAGGATGGCCCTGCACAGGAATGTTAAATGTTGTCATATTATGGTCACTATTTCCAAGCGGTCCTGTTATAGTTACCTCTTGGACCAGATCCTATGCTTCACTCAGGACTAAAGCGAGAGTTGCCTCTTCCCTTGGGGTTTCAGTACCAGCTGCTCCAAGAAGCAGTCATTTAAAGTATCGAGAAATTTTGTCTCTTCATTTCATCCTGAGGTGACATGTACCCAGTCAGTATGGGGATAACTGAAATCCCCCACTATTATTGAGTTCTTTGTTTTGATAGCCTCTCTAATCTCCCTTAGCATTTAATCATCACTATCACTGTCCTGGTCAGGTGGTCAATAATAGATCCCTACTGTTATATTCTTATTAGAATATGGAATTACTATCCATAGAGATTCTATGGAACATGTGGATTCGTTTAAGATTTTTACTTCATTTGATTCTACATTTTCTTTCACATATAGTGCCACTCCCGTCCTCCCCCCCCCCCCCCCGTTCTGTCCTTCCAGTATATTTTGTACCATGGAATGATTGTGTCCCACTGATTGTCCTCACTCCACCAGGTTTCCGTGATGCCTATTATATCAATATCCTCCTCCTTTAACAGGAGGCACACTAGTTATTGATGTATTCCTAGGTGTGTGACAGCTGTTGTCCCCAGACACCACAGGGTCAAAGTGCCCTGGGTGTTGCCCTGAGCTGACATGTTGAAACGCTGCTCCAAAGGGGGCATTTTGCTGTGGCTGCCCTGCTAACCGAGTCGGGGAAGGAGGCAAGTTGTTGGAAATGGGTCACTCTGAGTCGACTGCAGCTGATGCTTGCTGGGCTATGCCCCAGTCGGAGAGGGGTGCCCTGCTATATGCTGGGCTGGAGGCTGCGGGGCTGTCGAGTGGCTGCCTGGGTGCTAAGAGACGCGCAGGGCCTGCCCTGCCGGGGAAGGGCTGGCTGCTGCACAGCTCTCCGTGCCCCCGGCCGGGGGGCACTGGGTATGCGGCAGCCCCTGGCCTGGCCTGTTGGGGGAGCAGGTGCCACCCAGCCCAGGCTGGGTCACCTCCAGCAGCCACCTCCAGCTCTGGGGCAGAGCTCTGTGGGGGATGCCCTCTGACCTTTCAACCCTCAGCAGTATCTCTACCCTGGGTCTGCCCTGGAGAAGGCGGCAGGTCGCAGCCCCCGAGGAGCCGATTTCCTCAGGGGGAATTCTCCGTCATGCGAAACGGTGCCATCGGGACGGTTTTCGCACCTCCTCCCTACACGCCTCAGACCAAAGAGGGCGGAGCCGCGCATGCGTAGTGGGTGACGCAGTGCTCTTCCCTCACCCTCCCTTCCCCCAGGCAGAGGGGGCGCGCTGACGCATTACGCGCGGGGTGTGGGCAGGTCGGGTCGCGCGCATGCGCGGGGGGCGGGTCGTGGTGGCGGTGCTGCGGAGCTGGGGTTGCCGGGTCTGTGGACGCCATGTCGGGCCGCTCGGTGCGAGCTGAAACCCGCAGCCGCGCCAAAGATGACATCAAAAAAGTGATGGCGGCCATCGAGCGCGTCCGCAAATGGTGAGAGGCGGGGCCTGGGGGCGGGGCCTTGAAGTGTGGAGCCAATCACCGTGCCTCATTGGCTTCGGTGGTGGGACTCCCATGGAGAATAGCCAATCAAAGTTCCTCGGGAGCCAGCAGGCGGGGCCAGCGGGGGGAACATCCAATTACCTCTCCTTACGGTTTGAAAGGGCGGGGAAGCGAAGAGCAACCCGATTGGCAGGGGCTATGCCCAATCACAATTTCCCCCCAGGTGTGCGGCCTCTGAAGAGCTTTTAGAGGGACATGCTCTGAGGTCAATCAGGGCCCGCGGGCTGAGGAGGCGGGTTCTTCTGTTACTATGGGGCCCGGGAGCCGCCCACACTGAGCCAACGTGTCCCACGTTACGCAGGATCATTGGCCCGGAGGGCCCGGCCCTGCGGCGAGTTCCGCTTGGGGCCGGGGCCGTGTACCAGGCCCAGCCCGGGGCGCGGAGGCCCAGAGGCGCAGGCCGGGCTCTGCCCGAAGCGGGGCCTGTGGCGGGCGTTGGGCCTGCCGCTGACTTCGTACCCGGCAAGCCCCTCCCCTCACCGTGCCTCAGTTTCCTCGCTAGTGTAACGGTGCTCGCCGGCGGGTGTGTGGTGCGGTGCTCCTCCCCGCCCGTCTCTTGGGCATCGCCGCTTGTTGCGGCCGGGACCGGTCCCTGGGCTTGGGGGTCGGGGCTGGCACGGGGACGTGATGGGTAGGAGGGACCTGACCCAGGGTAGCTGCTGCCCTGGGGCCCGACGCCCTGCTCTAGCCCCCCGTGCAGTGCACAAGACCGTCCGTTAGAGCTTTGACCCCCCTTCGTCCAGCTGACCGGAACCCGTCAGGGCCTGCCTACCTGCAGCAGTCGCGCTGGTGAATCCTAAATCGCTTGAAGAACTAGTTCATTCTGCTTCTGCTGCCCAGCCAAAATGCTGGGCGATGGAAGGGGCTGCAGCTGTTTTCAGGAAAGGCAGTCCCAAAACAGCTGTGCAGAAACAGTAACAACCTCTCCCCAGGAGGCTGGGGTAGGGGTAGTGTAGAGGTCACCTTCTCCTGTCCTTACAGCAGCTAAGACTCTGGGGGAGAATAGCAGAGGTTATTACATAAAGTGGAGCTCCTGAGTAGGGGGGATTAGAGCTGGGCAAATAACTGTCTCTTCAGTTCACTAGCAATTCCAAATGTCAGAAATGAAACATTTTGTTCCAATTTTAGGTATTTTAAACTCTTTTTAAAAAAGTATGTGGAAAAGAAGAGTCACAGAATCTAATTAGAAAAGGGGGACTTGTGGCACCTTAGAGACTAACCAATTTATTTGAGCATAAGCTTTCGTGAGCTACAGCTCACTTCATCGGATGCATACTGTGGAAACTGCAGAAGATATTATATACACACAGAGACCATGAAACCATATGTGTGTATATAATGTCTTCTGCAGTTTCCACGGTATGCATCCGATGAAGTGAGCTGTAGCTCACGAAAGCTCATGCTCAAATAAATTGGTTAGTCTGTAAGGTGCCACAAGTACTCCTTTTCTTTTTGTGAATACAGACTAACACGGCTGTTACTCTGAAATGTGTTAAGGGGTGTTCTAATACAAAAGACCACCTCCTGCCCCAAAGAGCTTACGGTATTGATTGTTGAACTCTTGCAGTGGTGTCAGAGAGAAAAGTCGTGGATAACTTTCAGATAGATGGAGGGGGCTGCCCCTCATCAAAGATGGGAGGAGGAATAGCTCAGTGGTTTGAGCATTGGCCTGCTAAACCCAGGGTTGTGAGTTCAATCTTTGAGGGGGCCATTTAGGGATCTGGGGCAAAATTGGGGATTGGTCCCCCTTTGAGCAGGGGCTTGGACTAGATGACCTCCTGAGGTCCCTTCCAACTCTGATAGTCTATGATTCCCGTGAGCCAATAGCTCAGCAGGCTGATAGATGAGTCACATCAGTTTTATAGCCAATGGTTTAATGTGGCCAGCATCACATCCAGGTGCCTCTGACTGCCCTAACCCACTGGATCAGGCACCTATTTTGCAGTTGGGTGAACTGAAGGTAGCCTTTCAGTGTGAGATCAAGCAAAATTAAACCAGTGGCTTCAGTTAAAGCCCAGGGAAGTGGAAGGCCAGGGTGGCCAAGTTTTCATGGTTTTCTTTGCAATCCCAAGGGCCCATAGACCACTGTAAATCAACTCCTGCTCCGAGTAGATCCTCGGTAGAATGTCTAACTCTCCCGTCCCCAGTCAACCACTAATTTCCTACCCTTGTTTCAGCAAGGAGGGATTGGGATAGGCTTCTAATTTCCCTCACTGCAAACCAGTTCTGCAGGCAGAGTGCAGATTTTGACACCATTGCACGTTGGCCCTGGTGATGTTAAGGTGAGAGGCACCAGTATAAAAACTGGGAAAGGGAGAGCACCATGCTGAGCATCTGAGTGAGCAGAGACACCCCCCCTCCCTTTTCCAGCCAAGTCAGTCGGCTAGGAAAGCCCTGCTCTAGAGATAATGGGGAAAAGGCCCATTCGAGGGGAGACAATGTTCCCACAACCCCTGATTCCAGAGGAGTGTTTGTATTCCTAGCCCTCATTGGTCCCCTAGAGGGCACTGGAGGGAGTTCACACCTTTGCTGCTGCTGCTTTTCTGGAGAGTTTTGTGGTGAGATTGTGTCCGTTTCACTCTGCTTCTCTCCTGCCTAGGCAAGTGTATGCAGAAGTAGCAGCACAGGCATGATCCTGAGCTGAATTTAATGGCTGTGTCCTAAGTAATTACCAGGACTTCCTTGGTTATGTGGTTGGGAGAGATGGTTGGCTTTGTTGGTTGTAACCTGTCTCCTGCTCGGTGGTAGGGAGAAGAAGTGGGTGACGGTGGGAGACACATCCCTTCGGATATTCAAGTGGGTGCCTGTAGCAGACAGTAAAGAGGTAAGTGCTGGGTCTGCTGTAAGAAAGGCTCTTAAGGATTTCATGCGCCGGCTGGAGAGGAGGAGGCCATGCCTCACTGCTGAGGGGGACGGACTCTAGTTCTGCCCTTCAGAATGTCATCCCAGCTCCCACCAGGAAGGTCTGGTCTTCGGGGTCTCCTCTGCATGGCGCAGACAAACCCGTGGAGCTCTCAGAAAAACAAAAAAAGGGCATCGTTTCCTGTGGCTCCCCTCGCTAGTCAGAGAACAGTGAACAAATTGACGCTTTTTGCGGGGCGTCTCTGGGACAGGGGAGCTCTGGGGCCGATGGGTCTGTGGCCAGTTTGCTCATTGGGAAATCCCCAGAGAGGATCTGGAAGGCCAAACCTTCCTTTTGCAATGGACTTCAGGCTCGGGGGTTGGCCCAACAATCCACACAGCATCTGTAATGTGATGTAGCCACATTCGCTGCACTTGTGGCCTGGGCAGGTACAGTGAACATAGGCGAATGCGCCTCTGGCTCTGTGCTGTTGCTGCTGCCTGAGGAGGGCAGTGCTCCTCAAAGGCCTGCTGCCTCTCTCCCCTCTGCTTGCTGAGTGTGACTCTGTTAATCCCATGTTCTCTCTCCCTTCAAGAAAGAGAAGTCCAAAACAAGTAGCAGCACTGCCCGAGAACCCAATGGCTTCCCAGCTGACTCATCTGCCAACTCCTCCCTCCTCCTGGAGTTCCAGGGTAAGTCTGCCTACCCCCAGAACTCAGGCTGGCAGGGGGAGGGCACTGCTGCCGTTCATATCAAGAGGACTTTGTAAATATTGAGGTGTCATTAGTACAGTATCTATGTCTTGCACATCCCCCCAGGAGCAATGCAGATTTCCACAAGGGATGTTGTTCTGACACATAAGAACGGCCATATTGGGTCAGACCAGTGATTCATCTAGTCTAGTATCCTGTCTTCTGACAGTGGCCAATGCTGGGTGCCCCAGAGGGAATGAACAGAACAAGCAATTATTGAGTGATCCATCCCATCATCCACTCCCAGCTTCTGGCAGTTGGAAGCTAGGGAAACCCAGAGCATGGGCTTGCATACCAGCCTATCCTGCTCCAACTCCCTTCTCTCCAGTGACTGCTGTGGGGAGAGGCTGTTAGCAGGCTGCAGCCAGGACACCCTGCCCTACACCATTCCCTGTAGCAACTGGCACAGGGATCTCCTGCACTGTCATGATGAAGCCTTTCTGGGTATGTCCCACTTTAGAACAGTGGCTCGCAAACATTTTACTGAAACGCCCCGCCAGCTGCACATTTTGTCTTTTTTAGTGATCCGCACAGGGTCCAAATTCATGGGTGGGGGTGTGTGTGCAAAATCACAGGTCAGCCTCCTCCTCCTCCGCTACTTTCTCTGTTCTCGCGCCACCAAGGGGGCACTGACCCCCCGCAGCTGGAGGTGTGGCCAGGCCAAACATGAGCAAGTGGTGCTGTGACCCCATGAGGCCGGTTGCAATACCCAGAGCATGGAGCTGTGCCCAGCCCCATAGGACATGAGCCATCGCTGCAGGGTGAGTGTGGGGAAGGCTTGCTGTCAACCCCTGCCCCTTCAGGGCCTCCCCTTGGAAAAGCTGCTGTAGGAATCCTAGGAGCAGGGGATAGTCCTGGGGCTTCCAGGTAGCCTTTGTTTGCGTCTCACAGCAGGGGTTGCAGGCAGGAAGGGGGACCGTACCCAGAGGCATGTGTCCTTCAGCTCATCTGGGTGGAGACCAGTGAATCATAGAATATCAGGGTTGGAAGGTACCTCAGGAGGGCATCTAGTCCGACCCCCTGCTCAGAGCAGGACCAACCCCAGCTAAATCATCCCTGCCAGGGCTTTGTCAAGCCTGACCTTGGAGGCAGCACCATTACTTTCCCCCAGAGTCTGTGGTGGGTCCAGGATGGATTTTAATATTAAGGCCAGTCTTGCTCCTTGGCCCATTCCATTCAGCCATAAGGGCTTTAGGAGCACTGGAGGTCTCAGCCCCAGGGACTAGGAGCACTCTGTGATGAAGGGATTCGCGGAGGAGATGTGCACGTCACGGTGATGTCAGACCGGGGGAAAGGAACCAGTACAGCCTGGGAAACTCTACTGAACAGCTTTGCGTCCCATTCCTATGTCAGGTGCTCTTTGCTCAGCAAACACCCCAGGAACCCCTCCTCTGCCTGCTCTCTCTTCCCATGCTCAGGCGTCTCCTTCTCTCGGAGGAGCGGTATCCTGGGGATTGACCATATGGCTAATCCTGGAAATCCAGGGCAGCCTAGCATACACGGCTTGGGAACCCCATAGGGAGAGGCGGGTGCAGAGCTCTCCTGCTGGCATGACTCCTCCCTGCTCCCTTGGGTCATTCTCTGTGGGTGCCATCTTTCAGTGCTGCCCCCTGCTGTGCTACTGCAGCTGTGAACCAGGCATCCCCCCTAACATGCTGACGTTTTTTCAGATGAGACCAGTAACCAGAGCTCCTTGTCAGACGTTTACCAACTCAAGGTCGACAGCAGCCCGAACTCGAGCCCCAGCCCCCAGCAAAGCGAGTCAATGAGTCCGGCACATACATCCGACTTCCGCACGGACGACTCACAGCCACCTACACTGGGGCAGGAGACCCTGGAAGGTATGATGCGGCCAGCTGCACTGGGAGAGGAGATGGTGGAGGGGGCGGGCCCTAAGGAAAGCGCAGTTCAGCCAGCCATTCTGGGCCTGGTGAGCCCTGGGAGAGGCACAGTACAGCTGCCCATGATGGGCTAGGTGAGCTTTTGCTCCTTGCCCTGGCAGGGCATTTGCTGCCTTGTTCCTGTGCAAGAAGCCTGGCTGGGCAGGCTGTTTGCATGCATGTTTGCAGCAGCACTGCTGTGTTAATGCTGCTGCATGTCCAACATGGTGTTGGCTTTTCCTAGGCCTCCCTGTGGTGCAAGGGCAGCAGAGACCTGAATGCCCTCTAGGCATGGTGCTCCCCTCTGAGTCCTAGGAGTATGTTGTGCCTGCAGGCAAGGGGGCAGTAGCTGGCTGGCTCACTTGGTGAGGCCAGGTAGAGCTCTTGCTGCTAACATTGGGCTCACAGGGCCAATACATCCGTAATCCTCCCCTTTCCCTTCCAGAGCCCTGCCTCCCTTCCTCGGAAGTTGCAGATGAGCCTCCCACTCTCACGAAGGAGGAGCCTGTCCCTCTCGAGACTCAGGTAAGGAGAAGGGAAACTAAAGCCTTCCCTACATATGTACAGGCCCAAAGTACACCCTTCATCCCTCTGGTGTGTTGACTCTGAAACCTAACAATGGCACATGATGTGTCAGCATTATGAACTGTTTCACTGCTGCCCTTTTGAGCAGAAGCATCCAGCTAATATACTTTCCCCACAGTCTTGGGCTGCCCTCTGCCCAGCTTCCCTAATCATTTCTGTACTGCAGTTCTGAGCTGTGAGTGCCAAAATCGATACTGCCTGGAGAACTGAAAATGTGGGGACAGCCTGAAAGAATCACAGTAAATAACCCAGGCCACTACCCTGAGCCTGCTGTTCTCATCAGGTGCAGTTAATTAAAATGCTTCCCTGTGTCAGGTCATTGGAGCTGCCCCAACCAGAGGCCTGGCCTCAGAAGTGCGAGCATTTGCTGTGGAGTGCCCTGGGCCTTGAATCTAGGCAGGGCACTGCTGGGAGCAAGCCCATGCTGTTGGTGCCGCTAGTGGCCCATGTAGGATGCTATGGGCCGCTGAGCCTCATCATCGGACTGTAGCCTCTGCCTCTCCCTTCAGTGCTGTTGGCTCCCTGTGAGCAGAGCCCCCAGGGCAGTGGCTGAGCTGTGCGCAGAGCTGGGAGCTGCATCCCGCATCGCTCATGACCTCTGCTCTCCTGCTGTTCCAGGACACTGAAGAGGAGGATTCTGGGGCGCCGCCTCTGAAGAGATTTTGTGCAGATCAGAACTCTGTGTGCCACACGGCCTCGGAGAGCTAGGGACAGGCCCCTCCTGCCTGCCCCCGCCGCAGAGCCCTCCTGCCCTACCCCGGGTCAGGCCCCTCCCACCAGCCCCCCGCAGAACCAGCTCGCCATCCCCAGGGACGGGTTCCTCCCTCCAGCCCCCCGCAGAGCCGGCCTGCCCTCCCCAGTGATGGGCCCCTTCCACCAGCCCTCCTCCCTTCCCCAAGCCAGCCTGCCCTCCCCAGGGACAGGCCCCTCCTGCCAACCCCGGCAGAGCAGGCCTGCCCTCCCCAGGGACGGGCTCCTCCCACCAGCCCCTTGCAGAGGAGCTAGTCTGTAGTCTGTCCTTCCCTCAGGGACAGGCCAGGGCACCTCGCACCATCAGTACTTGCAAAATTGCCTCTATTTATTGGCTCCCTTTTCCTGCTGATCTGTGCTGGTGCGGCAGGGGCGGGGCTGGTCATGTGGCCTGCTTGTGTGAGGGGCTGAGTCCTCTGGGTCTCCTGCTCTGCCTGGGCACTGGGCGAGAACTGCAGCCTGACAGATGTTGTTCCCCTGCAGGACGATGGTATTTAGGGTCCCGTGCCCCTGGTTGCCAGGAATGAAAGAGCCGTTCCTGCTGCACTAAGTAGTTTCTCTTCCCCAGAGAATTGTTTCCATGTCCTGGAGCTTCCCTCAGTAAACAAGCCTCATTGATGGGCCGGGTTAGGTGAGCATTTGGGGCATGGGACCGCCCAGCACTGGAACTTTAACAAAGGCCTTTGCCCTGCAGGGCAGGGATCCTGAGCTGGGACAGTGTGCAATAGCTGTTGGTTTAAGCCATTTGTGCTGGAGGAGACAGGTGCACCCGTGCTATGGAGGGTAGGCAGATGAGTGAGTCAGGGCACAGCCGCCATCCCCAGGCATGCACTATGGGGCCTCTGGAGGTCTTGGCACTCTCCCCTGGCCCCTGCAGGGTAGCAGTATTCAAGGGTGCAGGCTGTAGGCACAGAGCCCTTAGTATTGGATCCAGGGAGGTTGCCACCAGGTCCCTGGCTGACTCTGTGCCTGGCATCGACCTGCGGTTCCTTATGTGAGTGCCCATGGGAGAGGCTGAGGCAGCATAGGGTTTCTTCAGCTTGAGGGTGGGGAGGTCCTGCTGTGAGGCCGACTCCAAGTCTACCTCAGGGACCGGGAAGGACACAGCAGGGTCTAGGGTCTCTCCCAGAAAACCCAGGGGCCTTAGTTCTCACTCTGCCAGCACTGTCAGGGTGGCGTCATTTCCCAGGGCACCCTTACACTGCCTGCCCTTGGTGCCTGATTTGCACACTCTGGCACCTCTCTCACCCGGCTCCCAGTCAGAGCTGCTCCGCAGGCTTGTTTACCAAGGAGCTCCCATCCCTCCTCTCCAACGCCATGGACCTGTTTCCTCTTCGTTGCGATCTGCATGTCAAATTGAGTCTGTGATTGAGCCTCTGTTGAAGCCGAAGGCACCGGCTGTGCGTGGAAGTGGAGAGATATTTTAGCACTGAATAGAATATTTTTAAAATTAAACTATTTGAAATACAGTGTGTGAATTTTTCTGCAGCAGCCTGGAGAGGGCTGGATCCCCACCATCCTCTCCATGGACCTCTGTGAGTGCAGAAGTGACAGGACATAGGGACAGCATCTTGCCTGGGAAGGGGTGTCAGGGGCTGCTTTGTTCATGTCTTCAAGTGGATGCAGCTGCATATTCTACATAGTGTCTGCGCCCTGCATGCTGGAGCTGGAGGATTTTCCCAGCAGTACCCCAGAGGGGCGGGGCTCATGCTGTGTGGCCATAGTCCCTCCCCTGACTATATGAGACAGTACCGCCTTAACCCCCCAACATGCCCCTCCCCCCCCGTGTTCCTTCTTACCACCCATGGCTGGAGTTGCAGCACGCCGTGCATTTTACCTCACACTCCTCTATTTAGTGATGTTTTGAGTAGTATGTGTTTCATTAGGACTGTAGTACAGTGTGTGTTAAGTTACTGTCAGCTGTAGGTTGTGTTTTTCTGGTGATGCCCCCATCAGCATTTAAACATTGTCCATCGGGAAAGTGGCATCCCCACTAATAATCCCCACACACAGTGCTTGTTGTGTCCAGGCACAGCCCACATCAAGGTGCGCTGTTCCATTTGCACACCGTTTGCTGCGCAGACTCAGGTGGCAAGGGATCTTTGTCTGAAGCAGCTCCTGCTCCAACAGGCAGGAAGATTTACACCTCCTCTTCCTTGCAGATTCAGATTGCTAACCAGCAGCCACTGCTGCCCAAGAACGACTTTGCTACCTGGACAGCTTTGTCTAAATTTGCAGACCAGCTGCCCGAGGCCTTGAGGGAGGAATTTCAGGCATTGGTCACCGAAGGCTGCTTGGTGGCTAAGGCTTCTTTGCAGTCTACACTGGACATCACAATAATTCAGCCAGAGTGAAGGCACCTGCAGTGCCCATGAGGAGGTGTTTCTGGCTGCAGAATTCTGGCATTGCTCCTGCTGTCCAGCAGGCCACTGGGGATTTGCCCTTTGATGGGCAGGAGCTGTTCTCGGATAAGATGGATGAGACTGCTCTCCTACAAGGATTCTAGGCTGCCCTAAGGCCCTTGGGCCATTACAGAATTCAATGGCAACAACAGCAGTATTGTCTGCAGCACGTTTGGGGAGCTTTTCACTCCCCCAAGGCAGGACAACCCCGGAAAAGGGCCTCGGCCCCACAGGAGGAAGCAGTTGGGTTCAGGATTCAGCCAGTTCACATGCCATCCCCAGGCACCTCCCAAGCACCCATTTTGACTCCTTGGTCCACAGCAGTGTTCCAGCCGTTGCTCTCCCTCCCCTCCCACCGTCCTCCCCTCTGTGGATGGGCTGACTCACTTTTACAATGCTTGGGGCTCAATCACCACTGACAGCTGGGTCCTAAGCACCGTCTGATCGGGCTGTCAGTTCCTCTCCATCTGGCCCCGTCCCTCTTCAGGGACCCCTCTCACGAGATACTGCTCCTTGAGCAGGTGTACTCTCTGATGGTGTTGGGAGTGGTTGAGGAGGCTCCTCCAGAGCACCAGGGTCAGGTTTTCTATTCCCGGTACTTTCTGGTGCCCAAATCCAAGAGAGGGGTAAGGCCCATTCTTGACCTTTGCGGCCTCAACAAATATATCAGGTACATGAGGTTGCAAATGATCGCTTTGGCACCTATTCTCTCTGTGTTGTATTAAACTGGTTTGAGGCCTGGATTGTCAGGACACCTGCTTTCATGCGACCATTTTGCCAAGCCACAGAAAATTCCTTTTGTTTGTTTTGTTAGAGAACCGTTTTCAGTCCACAGTGCTTCCCTTCAGCTCCTCTTCTGCCCCTTGGGTTTTTACCAAATGCATGATCATCATCACGGCATAACTCCAGAAGAACGGGATCCACAGCTTCCCATAGCTGGATGACTGGTTGCTGAGGGGCAGATCCAGAGAGGAAGTCCTTTCTCATGTCAACATCACACTGCGCTTGCTTGACCATCTAGGTCTTATCCTAAACACTAGGAAGTCCACTGTGACAGGTTGGATCACAGAAACCCCCTTGGGGCTGCCAACTCATGTGCCAAGACTACTTCTGCCCCTGCTTTCCCTGCCAGCTTGGGACTCCAGCACCCTGTCTTGCTGAGCCAGACATGCCAGTCTGCTCCAACACAGACCCAGGGTCTGAACCTCGTGCCCCAAAGCTGCAGACTTAATTGAAAGCAACTTAAGAAGTGTTCCTGTCTTTAACATTTGGATGCTCAACTCCCAATGGGGTCCGAACCCTAAATAAATCCGTTTTACAGGGTAAATTCATAAATTGTTCACCCTCAATAACACTGATACAGAGAGATGCACAGCTGTTTCCCCCCCCCCCAGGTATTAATACATACTCAGGATTAATTAAGAAGTAAAAAGTGATTTTATTAAATTCAGAAAGTAGGATTTAAGTGGTTCCAGGTAGTAACAGACAGAACAAAGTGAATTACCAAGCAAAATAAAATAAAACACAAGTCTAAGTCTAGTACAGTAATAAAACTGAATACAGATAAAATCTCACCCTCAGAGATGTTTCAATAAGTTTCTTTCACAGACTGGACGCGTTCCTAATCTGGCCACAATCCTTTCCCCTGGTACAGCCCTTGTTCCAGCTCAGGTGGTAGCTAGGGGATTTCTCATGATGGCTCCGCTTTGTTCTGCTCCACCCACTTATATATCTTTTGCATAAAGTGGGAATCCTTTGTCCCTCTGGGTTCCTACCCCTCCTTCTCAATGGAAAAGCACCAGGTTAAAGATGGATTCCAGTTCAGGTGACATGATCACATTTCACTGTAAGACTTCGTTACCCACTTGCCAGCCCACAGATATACAGGAAGACTTACAAGTAAAACAGAGCCATCTACAGTCAATTGTCCTGGCCAATGGGAGCCATTAAGATTCCAAACCACTATTAATCATAGAATATCAGGATTGGAAGGGACCTCAGGAGGTCATCCAGTCCAACCCCCTGCTCAAAGCAGGACCAATCCCCAATTTTTGCCCCAGATCCCTAAAGGGCCCCCTCAAGGATTGAATTCACAACCCTGGGTTCAGCAGGCCAATGCTCAAACCATTGAGCTATCCCTCCCCCACCCAAAGAATTAAGCATGTTCCCACCTGGAATCGAACCGGGGACTTTCGCAAGTGAGGCAAACGTGATAACCACTAGACTGTGGAAACCCATAAAGATGGATTCCACTCATCCTATTTGTATAAATGTATCACTCTTGTACCTGAAACTAGAAATATGAAATATAACTCTGAGGACCTATTGTAATTATGCACAATGTGGGCTTTCAGATACAAGAGTGATACATTTGTACAAATAGGATGACCGCACTAAGTAGATTATAAGCTTTGTAATGATACCTTACAAGAGACCTTTTGCATGAAGCATATTCCAGTTACATTATATTCACACTCTTTAGCATATTTTTATAAAATCATATAGAGTGCAACGTCACATCCACCTTGGTTGCCACTCGGAAAATAGAGTTCCTTGGGGCACTAATAGACTCAACATGTTCAATAGCGTTTCTGCTGACTGTCTGTTTTCAGGCGATTTGCCACCCCTCTGTCTCACTGCAGCCTCAGCCTTCTTCGAGAGGTCGGATGTGCCTGAGGCTCTTGGGCCACATGTGTGCTGGCACGCAGATGGTCCAGTTTGCAAGGCTATGTCTTCACCCCATTCCAGTGTGGCTCAGGGCAGTTTACTGGATTCTTCACTCCTTACACACATGGATCTGTCTCCCTCCCCTGGTCCTGGACTCCTTGCAATGGTGGATGCTTCTCAAGAATGTTTTTCAGGGCATTCCCTTTGTCCGGCCCTTACCAACCAGGTCTGCTATCACTGAAGCCCCCCTGGTGGGCTGAGGGGCACAGGTGGGGTTGCTGAAAGTCCAAGGTTTGTGGTCAGAGCAGGAGACTTTTCTGCATATCAATGTGCTGGAGCTTTGGAGCAATGCTTGTCATGCTTTTTAGGACCATATTAGGGACTCTGTGGTTCACATACTTACCGACAATACCACTGCAATGTAGTATGTGAACTCAGGGGTGGCAGGTTTGTATAATGTTTGGTGGTGCCCAGAACAGGTCCAAGTCCCGCCACCCCTCCCAACCCCCCCGCACCTGCCTAAGGCACTGGGAGGGAGTTTGGGTGCGGGATGCGGGCTCTGGGCTGGGGCAGGAGGTTGGAGTGCAAGAGCAGGTGCAGGCGGCAGGCTCTGGGAGGGAGTTTGGGGGCAAGGGGTTGGGGTGCAGGAGGGATGCAGGGGCAGGCTCTAGGAGGGAGTTAGGGTGTGGGCTCTGGGCTGGGGGTTGGGTTGTGGGAGAGGGTGAGGGGTGCAGCGCTTACCTTGGGCAGCTCCCGAAAGCGACCCGCACCCCCCTCAGGAAGCAGCTCCTAGGCGGGGGGGCGGAGGGGTCTCCATGCACTGCTGCCCGCAGGCATCTCCCCCACAGTTCCCATTGGCCACAGTTGGCAGAGTCGGCGCTCGGGGCGGGGGTAGCGCACGGAGAGACACACGCCCCGGGGGCCACAGGGACATGCCAGCTACTTCCGGAAGCAGAGTGGGTGGGCAGGAAGCCACCTTAGCTCCGTTGTGCTGCCGGTGGTGGCAGCGGGGGCCCTGGGCCCTTTTAAATTGCCTGGGTGCAGCAGGCGGGGCTGCGGGGGTACACTCTGGGGGAGGCGTGTGGGGATGGCAGGTGGGGCCAGGGGAGAGACCTGGCCCCGAACTTTGGTGGAGCCGGGCCCCCATGCTCTAATATTGGTGGAGCACAGGCCCATACAACTCGCCACCCCTGTGTGAACGGGCAGCGGGAGAGGGTTCCCTGCCAAGGGGCTATCAGGCGGTGGAAGTTCTGCATTGAGGAGAGCATCACTCCGATAGCTGACCACTTGCCCGGGGTACAGAATCAGCTCACAGACCGACTCAGCAAGAATTTTTCTCTGAGTCACTTATCATCCCTGAAGACAAGTATCCTCTGGGCCATTTTTGTGGCTTTGGTTTC